CGAAACAACATTAGAATCATTGGGATTCCAGAAGAAGAGGAAACAGAGAGGGGAGCAGAAGGTATATTGGAGAGAATTATTGGAGAGAATTTCCCCAATATGGCAAAGGGAACAAGCATCAAAATCCAGGAGATTCAGAGAACCCCCCTCAAAATCAATAAGAATAGGTCCACACCCCGTCACCTAATAGTAAAATTTACAAGTCTTAGTGACAAAGAGAAGATCCTGAAAGCAGCCCGGGAAAAGAAGTCTGTAACATACAATGGTAAAAATATTAGATTGGCAGCAGACTTATCCACAGAGACCTGGCAGGCTAGAAAGAGCTGGCATGATATATTCAGAGCACTAAACGAGAAAAACATGCAGCCAAGAATACTATATCCAGCTAGGCTATCATTGAAAATAGAAGGAGAGATTAAAAGCTTCCAGGACAAACAAAAACTGAAAGAATTTGCAAACACCAAACCAGCTCTACAGGAAATATTGAAAGGGGTCCTCTAAGCAAAGAGAGACCCTAAAAGTAGTAGATCAGAAAGGAACAGAGACAATATACAGTAACAGTCACCTTACAGGCAATACAATGGCACTAAATTCATATCTCTCAATAGTTACCCTGAATGTTAATGGGCTAAATGCCCCAATCAAAAGACACAGGGTATCAGAATGGATAAAAAAACAAAACCCATCTATATGTTGCCTACAAGAAACTCATCTTAAACATGAAGACACCTCCAGATTTAAAGTGAGGGGGTGGAAAAGAATTTACCATGCTAATGGACATCAGAAGAAAGCAGGAGTGGCAATCCTTATATCAGATCAATTAGATTTTAAGCCAAAGACTATAATAAGAGATGAGGAAGGACACTATATCATACTCAAAGGAACTGTCCAACAAGAAGATCTAACAATTTTAAATATCTATGCCCCTAACATGGGAGCAGCCAACTATATAAACCAATTAATAACAAAATCAAAGAAACACATCGACAATAATACAAAAATCATAGGGGACTTTAACACTCCCCTCACTGAAATGGACAGATCATCCAAGCAAAAGATCAACAAGGAAATCAAGGCCTTAAATGACACACTGCACCAGATGGACATCACAGATATATTCAGAACATTTCATCCCAAAGCAACAGAATACACATTCTTCTCTAGTGCACATGGAACATTCTCCAGAATAGATCATATTCTCGGTCCTAAATCAGGTCTCAACCGTTATCAAAAGATTGGAATCATTCCCTGCATATTTTCAGACCACAATGCTCTGAAGCTAGAACTCAATCACAAGAGGAAATTTGGAAAGAACCCAAATACATGGAGACTAAACAGCATCCTTCTAAAGAATGAATGGGTCAACCAGGAAATTAAAGAAGAGTTGAAAAAATTCATGGAAACAAATGATAATGAAAACACAACGGTTCAAAATCTGTGGGACACAACAAAGGCAGTCCTGAGAGGAAAATATATAGCGGTACAAGCCTTTCTCAAGAAACAAGAAAGGTCTCAGGTACACAACCTAACCCTACACCTAAAAGAGCTAGAGAAAGAACAAGAAAGAAACCCTAAACCCAGCAGGAGAAGAGAAATCATAAAGATCAGAGCAGAAATCAATGAAATAGAAACCAAAAAAACAATAGAACAAATTAACGAAACTAGGAGCTGGTTCTTTGAAAGAATTAATAAGATCGATAAACCCCTGGCCAGACTTATCAAAAAGAAAAGAGAAAGGACCCAAATAAATAAAATCATGAATGAAAGAGGAGAGATCACAACGAACACCAAAGAAATACAGACAATTATAAGAACATACTATGAGCAATTCTACGCCAACAAATTTGACAATCTGGAAGAAATGGATGCATTCCTAGAGACATATAAACTACCACAACTGAACCAGGAAGACATAGAAAACCTGAACAGACCTATAACCAGTAAGGAGATTGAAACAGTCATCAAAAATCTCCAAACAAACAAAAGCCCAGGGCCAGATGGCTTCCCAGGGGAATTCTACCAAATATTTAAAGAAGAACTAATTCCTATTCTCCTGAAACTGTTCCAAAAAATAGAAATGGAAGGAAAACTTCCAAACTCATTTTATGAGGCCAGCATCACCTTGATCCCAAAACCAGACAAGGATCCCATCAAAAAAGAGAACTACAGACCAATATCCTTGATGAACACAGATGCAAAAATTCTCGCCAAAATACTAGCCAATAGGATTCAACAGTACATTAAAAGGATTATTCACCACGACCAAGTGGGATTTATTCCAGGGCTGCAAGGTTGGTTCAACATCCGCAAATCAATCAATGTGATACAACACATTAATAAAAGAAAGAACAAGAACCATATGATACTCTCCATAGATGCTGAAAAAGCATTTGACAAAGTACAGCATCCCTTCCTGATCAAAACTCTTCAAAGTGTAGGGATAGAGGGCACATACCTCAATATTATCAAAGCCATCTATGAAAAACCCACTGCAAATATCATTCTCAATGGAGAAAAACTGAAAGCTTTTCCGCTAAGGTCAGGAACACGGCAGGGATGTCCGTTATCACCACTACTATTCAACATAGTACTAGAAGTCCTAGCCTCAGCAATCAGACAACAAAAGGAAATTAAAGGCATCCAAATTGGCAAAGAAGAAGTCAAACTATCACTCTTTGCAGATGATATGATACTATATGTGGAAAACCCAAAAGACTCCACTCCAAAACTGCTAGAACTTGTACAGGAATTCAGTAAAGTGTCAGGATATAAAATCAATGCCCAGAAATCAGTTGCATTTCTCTACACCAACAACAAGACAGAAGAAAGAGAAATTAAGGAGTCCATCCCATTTACAATTGCACCCAAAACTATAAGATACCTAGGAATAAATCTAACCAAAGAGGCTAAGAATCTATACACAGAAAACTATAAAGTACTCATGAAAGAAATTGAGGAAGACACAAAGAAATGGAAAAATGTTCCATGCTCCTGGATTGGAAGAATAAATATTGTGAAAATGTCTATGCTACCTAAAGCAATCTACACATTTAATGCAATTCCTATCAAAGTACCATCCATTTTTTTCAAAGAAATGGAACAAATAATCCTAAAATTTATATGGAACCAGAAAAGACCTCGAATAGCCAAAGCAATATTGAAAAAGAAAGCCAAAGTTGGTGGCATCACAATTCCGGACTTCAAGCTCTATTACAAAGCTGTCATCATCAAGACAGCATGGTACTGGCACAAAAACAGACACATAGATCAATGGAACAGAATAGAGAGCCCAGAAATAGACCCTCAACTCTATGGTCAACTAATCTTCGACAAAGCAGGAAAGAATATCCAATGGAAAAAAGACAGCCTCTTCAACAAATGGTGTTGGGAAAATTGGACAGCCACATGCAGAAAAATGAAATTGGACCATTTCCTTACACCACACACGAAAATAGACTCAAAATGGATGAAGGATCTCAATGTGAGAAAGGAATCCATCAAAATCCTTGAGGAGAACACAGGCAGCAACCTCTTCGACCTCAGCCGCAGCAACATCTTCCTAGGAACATCGCCAAAGGCAAGGGAAGCAAGGGCAAAAATGAACTATTGGGATTTCAGCAAGATCAAAAGCTTTTGCACAGCAAAGGAAACAGTTAACAAAACCAAAAGACAACTGACAGAATGGGAGAAGATATTTGCAAATGACATATCGGATAAAGGGCTAGTGTCCAGAATCTATAAAGAACTTAGCAAACTCAACACCCAAAGAACAAATAATCCAATCAAGAAATGGGCAGAAGACATGAACAGACATTTCTGCAAGGAAGACATCCAGATGGCCAACAGACACATGAAAAAGTGCTCCACATCACTCGGCATCAGGGAAATACAAATCAAAACCACAATGAGATACCACCTCACACCAGTCAGAATGGCTAAAATTAACAAGTCAGGAGATGACAGATGCTGGCGAGGATGCGGAGAAAGGGGAACCCTCCTACACTGTTGGTGGGAATGCAGGCTGGTGCAGCCACTCTGGAAAACAGCATGGAGGTTCCTCAAAATGTTGAAAATAGAGCTACCCTATGACCCAGCAATTGCACTGCTGGGTATTTACCCTAAAGATACAAACGTAGTGATCCGAAGGGGCACGTGCACCCGAATGTTTATAGCAGCAATGTCTACAATAGCCAAACTATGGAAAGAACCTAGATGTCCATCAACAGACGAATGGATAAAGAAGATGTGGTATATATACACAATGGAATACTATGCAGCCATCAAAAGAAATGAAATCTTGCCTTTTGCGACGACATGGATGGAACTAGAGGGTATCATGCTTAGCGAAATAAGTCAATCGGAGAAAGACAACTATCATATGATCTCCCTGATATGAGGGAGAGGAGATGCAACATGGGGGGTTAAGGGGGTAGGAGAAGAGTAAATGAAACAAGATGGGATTGGGAGGGAGACAAACCATAAGTGACTCTTAATCTCACAAAACAAACTGAGGGTTAATGGGGGGGTGTGGGGGGTGGGATTATGGACATTGGGGAGGGTATGTGCTATGGTGAGTGCTGTGAAGTGTGTAAACCTGGAGATTCACAGACCTGTACCCCTGGGGATAAAAAGATATTATATGTTTATGAAAAATAAAATTTAAAAAAAAAAAAAATATGATTGACAGAAAATAAAAGAAATGCCTGGTTAATACAATAGCACATAAATAAAGGTAATCATAGGACTGAATAATTCAAGATCTTAAAGACCTAAAAATTATGTGGTCCATCTGACCATGTAGATGCTCTGCTATAAGACTGCTGTAAGTATGGGGAAATTAAAGATAGGTATATAGAAAATTAAGCAAATGAAAAACAATGAGGCAAGTAACTATATACCATAAACAACAGGAAACAAAAAATAATCATTCTAAGCAAAGAAACAACTTAGAGAATTATCTCTTCACAAGTAAGGAATGAAAATATGAGTGGACTTCTTACCTGTTTCAGGGCAGGGGAACACGGGATCAGCTCTCCTATCCTATTTATTCCGGCATTGATTTTCTTCTTTCTATGCCTCTCCACTAGACAGGGAGGAAAATCCATTTACCAAACCTTATGGTACCAATGCCAAAGTTTGTTATTCTCCCTGGGTAAAGAAATTTTAGGTAAAGAAATCCCTAACAAAATTTTATCAAACAGTATCTACTGGAGACAAATAACTACAATTAGATTTCTAAGAATGTCATATTTTAAGTCTAGTATTATAGGAACTGATATAAGTGACACTTCTATTAACATTTTAAAAATGTGATCTATAATAATTAAATTCAAATTATAAACAGAAGTTGCTAACTATGTTTCAAGTAATTACTAGAGATTTTAGTGATAACTGAAATTTAAGAACCTATTAACAAGCTAAGTTACTAAACAGCTGTATTTTCATATGGGCAAAGGAGACCTACTTAGATTACGAACCTTAAAACACCTTTTACGATGACTAGAAGGCATTTTTCAAATAGAACAGCTATTAGTTATTACTTAAAATTTCTACGGAGTCTGGTCTACTCACTTTGGCCACACAGGACTTTTCCCATCTAGGAAATTGAGTAACTGACAACATCTCAATCAAATTAACTGAGAAATATTCCAGGCTTACATGCTACAACTTTAAAGATCATAGGGAAGAGTCAAGAGGATACAAGATGATCTAAATAACTGCAACGAGACACTGTAAGTAGAAACATTAGTCTTGGCTATTTTCTGTCAGGTTTCTGAAACCTTCCTTTCTAGTAAAATTCCAGTTCTTCTAAGAGGATGATCTTTCAGACTGACCATAAGCAGGTCTTGTTTTGTAGAATACATACTTTTTGCTTCATAGTCTAGCAGTAAAGGCATCTTTTCAATGACATCTAATTACTCTCTCAAAATAAATTACTATCAGGACATACTTATGACACCATGTGAGCTGACTCCAATAAAAATATTTAGTTCCTATGGCCAAAAAAGATTAGATTTAATTCATTTGGCCAAAGAACACAAAGGAGTAAAGTATATAACTCACTTATCTTCTGAATTCTCTTACAGTAGTATTTGTTCTTATCTAAGAGTGGATTTTTAAATGTGTGGAGGTAGAAAAAACAAAAAAAACAAAAAAAACCCCAGCAACATTAAGACTCTTTACCCACAGTGACAAAGGGGAATTCAAAGGCAGGAAATTCCCATTTTGGGGAGCAGCAATACTCCACCAGTGTTCACCACCTCTTTCCACAGACAAAAATTCCCCCAGGGTCCTTTCCCTAAGGAAAGGAAGGTATCATTTATAGAGTAATAGTTATTAACTTCTAAAATATTTTGTTTGAGATCTGGACTGTAGCCCCTGAAAAATAGTGTTATAAAATGTACCAAATTGTAAAAGTACATACAATTGCTTCTATGAATGTTTATCTGGCTTTGGCCTAGAATTTTGATATTTTGAGATAAAATCAAATATGTATTTTCTACATTTCCCTGTAATTGAGGACTCCATAACTTCATTAAGACTGTTCACATTTCTAGGATCTCTAAGGTCTACAGCCTGCTCCTCATCTCTCCCCTACTCCTGTAGGCAACCAGCCCCCTCTAGAATTTCTGCAAAGACACATACTCTTTATTCCATTTGGCAGAGGTAGAGCTGGACCTCCTCAGTGAGTGAAACCACTTAAATCACTAGTTCCAGGGATACATATTAATCCTTAAATTATTTAAATAGACAATGAATCAGAAAATAAGCAAACCATCTTCGTGAGACTGGGGGCTTTTTGTCAATTAAACAATAAAGGAATAAAAAAGTAAGGAACAGGGGCACCTGGGTGGCTCAATCAGTTGAGCATCTGCCTTCAGCATGATCTTGGGGTCCTGGGATGGAGCCCCACTTAGGGCTCCCTGCTCAGAAGGGAGTCTGCTTCTCCCTCTGACCCTCCTCCTCACTCATGCTTTCTCTCTCAAAGAAATAAATAAAATCTTAAAAAAAAAAAAAAAGTAAGGAACATTTTCCTAAAACATAATGAATAATGATGCTATGCTTATAACACAAAAACTTACAATCAACTACAGTATAATTTCATTTTGAATGCAAAAAGTGCTAACAAATATAACTGAAATTGTTGTTTCTACCTGCATTGTGTGTCTCCCGGTTTTTCTTTCTGAAACAAAAAGATAAAAGGAACATGAAAATAATGGGAAGACATTTTTAACACTTTATATTTTGAGAACTGTAAGAATAAATTTTATGAATTTGTATTTGTTGTATCAACAGGAAACCATCCAAAGAAACATTTTCTTAATATATATTATGGTATGGAAAACATAACTGTAGGTAAATCAATGTAAATTTAGAATCTACGATTTCTAGAAGTAACTACAATTCTCTATTCTTCCATACCCAGAAGTCATTGGTTGGGAAGTAAATCAATCACTGAAAAAACCTTAACTATTTGAAAAATGTAATTAAAGAGCTAGTCAACTCTCAAAGAGATACCCCAAGTAGGTGACCTCTGATGTTTGCCCTGGTGGCTGGCAAGGGGTGCTGTGAATGTGTAAGGGATACAAGAACAGGAGGAAACTTTTAATCCCAGGGAGAAAAAGGCAGCCAACAGCACCCAGGCACAGATTACTGGCATTTGAGCCATGTTTTGCATTTGTGTACCTAAAAGCTAATTTCCTAAAACCACTGATTTTCCCTTTTATGTACAAACATTAGCATTCCCTAATAGCTATTTGGTAAAGAAAGAGAATGGGGATTTTAATATTAATGAAAGCACCAGGCATGCAATTCTAAGCAGAAACACTGCCCCAAATGCTGGAAATTCAGAAAGGGGCTTATACAAAGAACCAGAAGTAATGTACTGCTGTGCATATTGTAATGTTAGAAAATTATAATGTCAGAAAATTGTAATGTCACAAAACGTCTATTTAAATTGACTTCAGTCTAAATGAACTTATGATCTATAAAGACTATAATACTGTGTGCAAGTAAAAATTTCAGGAGAAGGTAAACATTTAACACAGATTCGGTATTATACAATTTTACTTACTATCATTCTTACTTGTTACACTGTTAATAAAATAAGGAGGACAGGTAAATTTTAACTCTATATTCCTTTTGGTACATCTGTATTTATTTATCCACACTTATTCTGAAGAGTAATGGCAGGGTGGCTCAGTGGGTTAAGGCCTCTGCCTTCAGCTTGGGTCGTGTTCCCAGGGTTCTGGGATCGAGCCCCGCGTTGGGCTCTCCGCTCGGCGGAGAGCCTGCTTCCCCCTCTCTCTGCCTACTTGTAATCTCTGTCTGTCAAATAAATGAAATCTTTAAAAAAAAAAAAAAAAAGTAATGGTTTTCCAGGCACCCAAATGAAAGTTCCCTGAGGACTGCCTTTTTAGCAAAGTAGGGACTAATTCTGCTTTTTATCTGCCCAAACTATATTTTATTTTTGGACCGGGGCTACATACCTGTGCTGCTTTTTTGTAGGAGTCTCATTCTCTGTCATTTCTGGCATGATTACAATGATAGGAACCTACAAGGCATAGAAAGACACACCAGAAAGTTTAAAGTCAGTATGTCAGAGAAATTGATTAATAGGAATTTGGTTTGAATACCAAAATGCTAAAAAACAAAAGTGACATCATAAAAAAAGCGCTAGTTTAGCTGTCGTGGATAGAGAAAGGTATAAGAAAACAAGACAAAGACAAACCATACGTGACTCTTAATCTCACAAAACAAACTGAGGGTTGATGGGGGGAGGGGAGTTGGGAGAGGGGGGATGGGGTTATGGACATTGGGGAGGGTATGTGCTATGGTGAGTGCTGTGAAGTGTGTAAACCTGGCGATTCACAGACCTGTACCCCTGGGGATAAAAATATATTATATGTTTATAAAAAATAAAATATATTAAAAAAAAAAAGAAAACAGGACAAAAAAACATCGTAACTAGCAAATGGAGGGCATGGTGAATGTCAAATGGGAGGTACAGCCAGGAAGCGCTCGAGAAGACTGGAATAGAGAAAGATCATCATGGGCTTGAAAATCTAGAAAGGCTTAATGGTGGTGTGGATTTGAGCAAGACCAAGAACGACAGGTAAAACATATTTGATTTGGGAGAGAATGTTCTTTGTTCACGGTACTGTTTAAAGTGTTCTACAAAATTTAAACAAAAACAATAGTCCTCCCCTCTGAACAAAGAAAAAACAAAAGCGACAAGTGCACAAACACATAATATTCCATACACGGAAGCAACCGCTCAATCAACTCATTCACTTATTTGCTAGCTTTCTCTCAAACTGCTAGAAGTCTTACATTATCACTCGAGTCAAGAAAATCTGGATAGCAGTATGGAAATTCTACTTATAATTAAAATATCAGGATACTAAAGAATATACATACTATAAGGAAATATATTCATATGCCCCAAAAAGCCTGAAAGCAAATACATGAAGATACTAGTTAATTGTAGTTATGTAAGGCCAGCAATATTATAGGTGTTTTCTCCCCTTCTCTGATTTTCAAAAATTTCATAATGAAAACCTTAATGCTTTTTAGTCTCAGGGACTGACGGTCTTTCAAAAGCAGTCTGTCCAGCTGGGATACCTGTTCCTGCACACTGAAGGAGGTGCAAGGGCAGTTTCCCATTCTCTGAGTGTGGAATTGGAAGTCAGAAAGCATGAGTTCAGGGGTACCTGGGTGGTTAAAGTGTCCAAATCTTGATTTTGGTTCAGGCTATGATCTCAGGGTCATGAGATGGAGCCTGAGTGGGCCCCAAGGTAGGCAAGGAGCCTGCTTGGGATTCTCACTCTCCCTCTCTCTCTGTCCCTCCCCCTACCATGTATGTCTGTACATGCAAGCGCTCTCTCTAAGAGAAGGAAGGAAGGGAAAGAAGGAAGGAAGGAGAAGGAAGGAAGGAAGGAAGGAAGGAAGGAAGGAAGGAAGGAAGGAAGGAAAGAGGGAGGGAGGGACGGAGGGAGGGAGGGAGGGAGGGAGGGAAGGAAGAAAAGCAAGCAAGCATGAGTTTAAAATCTGGTTCTACCATTTCCTAGCCATAAGGTCCTGGGCAAGCTAGATTAGCCTTTTGGAACCTCAGATGCTTCGTCTTCAAAATGGACCATAATCAAAGCATCTAGACCATTATTTTGAGAAAGAAATAAAAAATGCAGGGGGAACACAGCAGCAGGGTGCCCAGCAGCAAAAAAGAATTCAACCAATGTTAGCCATGAATAATAATGAAGGTATTTCAGGTTCCACTCTAGCCCTGGAAAGGTGGAAGAAGGGTCCAGGGAAATAAGAAGTGAATGCTGACAAGGTAATGACAGGAAGTATTGGCTGAAGCAGCCTATGGAGAAATGTGCACTCAAGACCCATTTCCAGCAGCTGATTCCACCTTCTCCCTAACATCAGTGATGGCACACATCAGCCTAAAAGCAACACACTCACATTAGATAACCACATAACAACAATGTGAGGCATGTGAGTAAATAAATAAATCCCTGTCACCTTTCTCACCCAAGGGCTTGCAGAATTTCTTCACTTTTGATTCCTGGCTTCCAACGCCTCCTGTTTCTGATCCAAATCTATCATCTTCTGCCAGAAGATGGTCTATAAGTTATGTCTTCTTCTTACTACACAAGAGAAAAATCAATGTATGTTTATAGTTGCTGGGTTTCCATTAACAGCATGTAAAATGACTGGCAACCCCTGGCATGTAGACAAATTTTTAGTGGCATACAGAATTACCCTGAATTCTCCCCACCACTTGAAAGCTAACAAACATAGTTGCTTTAAAAAGTCACTCTCCAGTGGGTTGCCCATGTCCCCCAACCCTCCCCCACCAAAAAATGGTAGCAAGGACTACAGCCATTGGATGGTTCCCAGGAGATTCTCTCCTTCCTCTCAGACAAGCTCACTGTCCTTCAAGTTCTTAACCTTCCTCCACCTAGGTCTTACGCTAAGATCTGCCCTCAAACAGAAATTATCTTCCCTCAGTCTCCTACTTTCCTCTTCTCTTGTGACAGTGATTGAGAACTAACTCAAGGGTGTGGCAGTGACACGAAAAGACAGCCTCTCATCATATATGCTCTAAAACATGTCGATTTGGGGGCTTCTTCCCAAAGAAGTGCTGGGTAGGACCCAGGAATTTGTATTTTCAACAAGGTACTAGTTAAAAACTACAAAATTGTCAGCCCATCCCTGACCCACTGAATCAGTCTCTGAGGGAGGGATTCCCCAATCTTTAAGGGAGGAGTCTGAAATTTAATAATGCCCCCAGGGGATTCTTATCAGGAAACTTTAGAGAGGCAGGCAGGTATCTTTAGTTGGTGGAATTTCAGGCATCTGACTGATCACCTATTGTAAGAGAGATTATTTGGGATACAGTAAGACAACTGAACATAAAATTTCACCTATAAACCCATAAGGTCAGATTTCCCGTGTATCCATGAGTCACCATTTGGTCATTAGTGTCAGAGTTCCCATTGTTCCTCTGGAGACTTCTGAAAGTTTGCAGATTCATGTTCCAATTAAGATACATGAAGTAAAAGTTCCAATCTTTTAAACATTTAGAATCTTAAAGTAAATGATGCCAGAGGCCATCACATAAGTAAACATATTCATTGCATGGGGGTGGGGGTGAGAGGCAGGGGTTTAACTGAAAGAGGCTTATCTTTGGCTTTACCAAATCTTTGGCTTTACCAAATGTCTCTATAAATATCCATCTCAAACCACATTTTAACCAATTCAACTATGTTTATCAATGCACAACTGTTTCCAGATGCTACTCCTAATATTAAAATTGCATCCCTCACTTTAAAAAAGAATACTTACTGAAAAAAATAAACTATATAATACTGTCTTAAATCCTTGTCCACCAATTCATTAACCTACTAATAAGGAAATGTTACTTTTACAAATATACCTTTTAAAATATTTAAAGTGCCATGAATTTTTAAGGCAAAATTTCTAAATGTTTTATTAGTAACCCATGAATTACTATTTTTCATGGTAAGAGAGAATTATTTCTGAAATTAATCAAATACAATGGTTCTTAAAGTGTGGTTTTGAGATCACTTGCATCAAAATCACAACTTTTAAAACTGTTTTTGGGGCGCCTGGGTGGCTCAGTGGGTTAAGCCGCTGCCTTCGGCTCAGGTCATGATCTCAGGGTCCTGGGATCGAGTCCCGCATCCGGCTCTCTGCTCAGCAGGGAGCCTGCTTCCCTTCCTCTCTCTCTGACTGCTTCTCTGCCTACTTGTGATCTCTGTCTGTCAAATAAATAATAAAATCTTTAAAAAAAAAAAATTAAAACTGTTTTTGATCCTGACAGCAAAACTTACATAGAGTAAAATTCATAAATCTTAAGTACAACATTCAGTGAGTTCTGACCAAGGCACACACTTGTTTGACCCAACCCGTAGCAAGGTGCAGAACATTATTATGACTAGAGAAAGTTCTCATGATCTTTTCTAATCAATACCTCCCCCTACTCCCACAGAGGCAAGCAGTGTTCTCATTTTTTTCACCATTGAGCTTTATATGCCTTAACTGAGAATTCCGTTGTGTCAAGCTTTTACTCAGCTTAACACTTCTGAAATTCATCCAGCAGTTTGTTCCTTTTTATTGCTGAGTACCACTGTGTAACTGTGTGGGAGTTTACAGTTCAGTTTATTCATTTTTGTGTTGATGAACACCTGGCCTATTCCTGTGTTTTGGCTACTATGAATAAAGCTGCTATCCATGAACATTTCTGTGTAACATTTTTTGTGGATATCATCTTTCTTTCTGCTGAGTAAATATCTAGGAGTAGAAATGCTTCTTATACACCCTGCAGTTTTACTCCTAAGTATCCACCCAAGATATACTACCTATAAAAGGATATCCACAAAAAGACTTCTATAAAAACATTTGTCACACTTTACCCAGAGTGACAATACCATTCTGCACTCCCCCACAAAATGTAAGAGTTCTGGTTGCTCCATATCCTTCCAACATTGGGTTTTGCCTACTTAATCATTTCAACCATTCTGGTGTTTATATAGTGGAGTCTCATTTTTGTTTAATTTTCATTTCCTAGATGATTGATAATATTGAGTACTTTTTCCTGTGCATGTTAAGGCCATTTGTAGATCTTATTTTGTCTGCTCATCACTTTTTGCCAGTTTTTTAATTGGATTATTTATCCTTTTATTATTGACTTACAGAAAATCTTCATATATTCTGAGTTTTTACATCTTCTGGATACCTGTCCTTTATCTGAAATGTATTTTGCAATATTTTCTCTCATTCTGTGGTCTACCTATGCATTTTCTTAATTGTGTCTTTTGGTAAGCAAAAGGTCTTGATGAAGTAAAACTTACCAATTTTTAATTTATGATGATTCCTTTTATGGCCTGTCCAAGAAACCTTTACTCATCCCCAAGATATTCTCTTATGATTGCTCCTACAAGGATTACGATACTGTCATATTTAGATCAATGATCCATATTATGTAAGACAGGAGATAGGGGTTAAAGTTCATTTTTTCTTCCGTATTGATAGTTAGTTGTTCCAACATCATGTGTTGAAAAGATTTCCTTTCCTCAAATGGTACCTTTGTTAAAAATCGAATGTCCATATTAGTGCAGTTCCATTTCTAGGCTCTCTCTTTTAAGCTATCCTTATGCTACTACCACACAGTACTGATAAAGCATATGTTTAAAATATAGATTCCTATACCCCACCCCAGACCTACTTTCTGGACAGTCCAGAAATACGAAGTTCTAACAAGCTTCCTAGTTGATTTTTCTGCACCGTAAAGTTTGAGAAGGGCATTATTTTAATATTGCTTCTCTAAAACTGAAACAAATCAATGAGTTCACGAAGTAATGAGTTCACATGGGAAGAACAGTGAACCTGGAATTAGGAAAATGAGTTCTCATTCAAGATGTGCTACTCAAAAGTGAGGTATCATTTTATTTATCACAACTTAGGGCCCACAATTCTTCACATGTAAAACAAGAGGGTAGGACCAGACCCAACCATTCAGGTGTGGACTGAGTGCCCACACTGCCTAGGAATTACAGATGTAAAGATGAAAAAGGCAAGTCTTCCCTCAAGAAGAACACAGTCTAGAACAGGGTTATCAAAGAATTTTGTGCAGTGAAAATAGTCTATATCTGCGCTGTGCATATGGCCATTGTTCATCACATGTGGGTATTAAATGCTTGAAATGTGGCTAGTGAGACCATGGAATTAACTTTTAATTTTACATAATTTTGAGTAATTTAAATTAAATAGTTACATGTGGCTAGTGGTTATCATATTGGGCAGCACAGGGAATTTTAAAAATAATTTAAAAGAAGATGAATTTAAAAATTAGTTAATGAGTATCAACTTCCTAGTTTTGATATTGTCCTACAGCTATATGTCACTACTAGGGGAAGGTACATCAGTAGTACATGGATTCAGTAGTACATAGTATTTTTGTAACTTTCCTTGAGTCTATAATTATTTGAAAATAAGAAGTTTTTTTTTAATTAATTAATTTGACAGAGATCACAAGCAGGCAGAGAGGCAGGCAGAGAGAGGAAGGGAAGCAGGCTCCCCACTGAGAAGAGAGCCTGATGCGGAGCTTGATCCCAGGACCCTGGGATCATGACCCGAGCCAAAGGCAGAGGCTTTAACCCACTGAGCCACCCAGGCGCCCCTGAAAATAAAAAGTTTTAAAAAGCAAATTAAAAAAATCGGTAAATGCCACATACATAAAAAAGTCTTGTGAGTCTGAGAACTGCTCCAAGAATAAACAAAATATGGGAGGAAGGGAAGGTGCAGGAGGTGCAGAGAGAAAGAAAACTTGGACTAGACTGTGAAGGAATTTTCTGTGTCTAATAAGTACATTTAGCTTTTATCTCAAGATCAGTGGTTGTCAGATCAGTGATGGTCTGAAACAGAGCCTCCCTGGTCTATAGTAAAATGAAAAAAGGTGCAATGAAGTAAGAATTTTTTTCTTTTTTATTGACATGTCACTTACATACAACAAGTCATTAATTTAAGTCCACTGCTCGATTAATTTATATATGTGAATACACCCATGTAGATACCACTAAGATGAAGATATAGAACATTACCTCAACAGGCTCTCTCAAGGTCCCTGCCACTTAATCCCTTGGAATTTCTTTCAAAAATATATATTCAAAGAAGAATATATATTTCCAAGGAAGACAAACAAATGACCAACAAGTACATAAAAAGGTGTTCAACATCATTAATCATCAGGGAAATGTAAATCAAAACCATAATGAGATCTCACCTCACAACTATTAGAATAACTATTACCAAAAAGGCAAAAGATAACAAGTGTTAGTAAAGATATAGAAAAAAGGGAACCCTTGTACACAATAAATGAGAATGTAAATTGGTATAGCCATTATGGAAAACATTATGGAGGTTCCTCAAAAATTAAAAAGAGAAGTACCAAAGGATCCAACAATCCCACTTCTGGATATTTATATGAAGGAAATGAAAACACTATCTGCAATCCTGTGTTCACAACAGCCAAGACATGCAAACAACCTAAGTGTCCATCGACAGGTGAATGGGTAAGGAAAATGTGACACACATATGTATATATGCAATGAAATATATATAT